GGCAATAAAGTTGCTGTATGAAGTTGACGACCGAAAATAGGTTGGTTAGAAGTAGGATTTGAAGTCCAGGCAGATTTTTTGATATCATATATGTACATGGTTCCGTCGCCTTGGGTGTTGTCAAGTCTTAAATATAAATGTTAGTATTACAGAATGATTTCACACAAGCTTGTATAAACCGGAATACTTGTTTAGTAATTTAATCAGAATTATTTCCCATCCACGTAACTTTCTTATGTACTATCTTATATCTACAGTATTATTTTAGGTGATTGAATATAAATCCATATTTAATCTTCAATGTAAAAGATAATGTGTAAAAAAAAAGTTCATTTTTAAAATACTATAAATATATGAAGATTTATGTTATGTGAATAGCAGAAAATAATCAGTTATATCCTGGATAATTAGGTATAAGCGAAAATTTATTAGGAAAATATAACTGATGTATCTTTCCCAGTAAATTTTCTATTACCCTGAATACAACTATTGCATAAGATTCTCTTTGGTTTCTCCGGCCTATACAAGATTAATATATATGAAACTGTTTAATAAATATTAAATAAATACATGTTGCCCAATGCCATATTTCCGCCCAAATATACATTTTCTTATTCGCATGATCAATTACAGAAGTATGCCATTTTCTCATAGGCGGTGTTGAATTCGTATCTTGAATGTAATTTATTACTGGATCCGTTGAAAGTGATTGAATTATATAAAGTTCACGAGAAGGTGAACCAGTACTGCTATAACCACCAAAAACATATATATTATTTGTATCAGAACTAGCACTAGCTCCACCCCTAAAATCTAAATATGTTATGAATTGATATGGAGGTGAAAAACTATAAAATGGCTGCGTCAAGTCAATATAAAAAAAATCATTCATTGCGCCATTAATTCCATATCCACCAAAATAATAGATCTTATCAGATATAAGCTCGGATGTTCTCTCTGCTGGACTGTAAGGAGTTGCATTTTTTGCGCATTCAAAGTTAGAGATTAGAAAAATAGATATCAAAAACAATGAAGTATACATCTTAAAATTAAAATTTGAATTTATCGCCTTATTGACAAAGCTAGAGTGTTATTGTTACATGTCACGGATGATGCTGAAATCTGAGAGCCTTTATTTAGAAATATAAACCTTACTAAAATCCGCCTATAATCTTTTATTATAAACCCTAATTTTAAATCCTAATTCAAGTATAAAAAAAAAACAAAAAAAAAAACCTAAAATAATACGCATCCTAAAAAATTTTAAAAATCGTACATTAAATAGGTTTTACATCCGATTTCAGCAACATCCTACTTTAACAGGTTGTAATACAATCTTATTGTATACGTCTTACAGTCTTGTGAGCATTTAGTCATTTTCGCGTATGTTACTGTATTATTTGAGCATTTGTTAATACAAAAAATTTCGCTCACTTATGGAGATGAGTATTGCTTATTAGATGTTTACATTAGAAAATATAATTGATTTCATACCT